AGCCCAGGCTGGTCTCAAACTCGCAACGATCCTCCTGCCTCGGCCTCCCGAGTGCTGGGATTACAGGCGTGCGCCATCACGCCCGGCTTCTCTATTTGTGGCGTTAAATGTTCACAGTTTCCTCACATCGCAGTGCTGGGCTCTCCCGCGCTTTCCAGTCCCTCCAGGCAGGAAGATCCTGCACCCAAGGCCAGCCTGGGCTCCAGAGCAGGTTCAAGTCCAGCCCACACCACACAGAGAGGCTCTGTCTGGGGCGGGGGCAGCCGGCTTTCCAGACAGGCTCTGGTTTGAAGTGAGCTTTTTTTTTTTAACACAGGGTCTCACTTTTCTTTGCTCATTTTTAAAATTTTTATTTTAAAGAGAAAAGAACAAAGGCAAAATAACAAAAACAAAGACAGAAACAAAACAACACAAAAGCAATAGAAACAATACAGAATTTCAAAACAAGATGACAGGAAATCAACATGGTTGTTGTACTACACGTTGCTATCTTCAAAGTAGTTGCCCAGATTACCAGACACAGGCACGCAAGATTTTGTGTGTGTGTGTCTTTTTGAGACAGGGTCTTGTTGTCAGTGCAGGCTGGCCTTAGCTTGCTTTGTAGCCCAGGCTGGTCTCTAACTCACAATGATCCTCCTGCCTCAGCCTCCGGAGTGCAGAGCTTACAGGTATCCATCACATCTGCCTTCGAAGCCAGCTTTAAGTCCCTTAGACAGCTCTGTTTTGAACCTCGCAGGCTAGTCCTGGTCTGGTCTCTCCGCGAGAGCGCTTTGTAGGGAGGCAGGCTGAAGGTGCGGGATGTACTGCACGCTCACAGAGGTAGGCACGCAATTACCAGGCCAAAGCCTCTATTTTGAGCCCAAAGCAAAGGGCAGAGGTAGGAAGACATTCTCTGACCGGGACGGTGGTGCAAACGCGGTGCAGCGGGGAGGATGCCGCCTAGACCACGCGGGTGTGAGCGCGGGAGCTCGGGCGTGCCCGCGGAGGGCAGGGAGGGCGGTCGGGGCGCCCCTGTGCCGCGCGCAGTGCGGTGGGCGTGCTGCGAGGCTGAGTCAGGAGCGCGCGGTTCAGCCGGGCCG